GGCCATCCTACAAGGGGCCAACACGAGCACCCGTGTCACCTGACACGGGTCGTCTCAGCTTGCATGAAGTTTAAAGAGGAAATTGAGGTGAAATAGTGGGCTGACACGGGCACCCGTGTCAGCATGCATGGGACAAGGAAATTGAAGAAAAATACACAAGGAGCCAACACGGCACATGTGTCAGCTGACACGGGCCGTGTTGGCCTTGACGCTGAAAAGGTTTTCGAAGAGCGAAAGATTTTCATGAGTGGAAGCAATTGACAATCTAAGTTCATTCCAATCCTTGTAATGTCTAATTTTTATGTTGTATTTTCTTTGAACACTATAAGTAGCTAAACCCCCCAATGTTAGGGGGCGTCCTTGATTTGGATATGTAATGAATCTGATATTAGTATTGCAATAACAATCTCTTTGTTTTTCATAATTGATTTAATCTCTAGCTATTTTTAATGCTTGCCCTGTCTAACAAACAAAGTTTGATTTTCGATTAATGATTAGGCTGGATCGCCATTGTTAATGCTTTACTTTGGGTTATTCTATAGTAGATATCACCTAGGACTAGGGATACCCTATAGAAACCATAATATTCTTGATAATTGATTGCTTAATTTCATCTGTAATTCTCTATGAACATAAGAATTAGGATGGATGATTAAAGGTTTTCTCACTAAGGACTTAGGAGTAAACATTCTAAAGAATCGACAATTAATTAGTTACAATAAGTTGTTGCAGTGTTAATTCAGAGTTGTTACTTAGTCAGATCATACACCATTTCTAGCATAGTTTACTCATATATTTGCTAAACCACTCTATTACTTACTTTATTTTTTGTGCAAGTGTTTTATAATTTCACCAAACAATTCAAAACCCCAAAGCTTTTGTTTAACTAAAATAAAACCAGAACTCTATATCATCAAGTAATCCTTGAGATCGACATTCGGGGAAATTTCCTTTTATTACTAAATTGAAAGAATAATACACTTGCTATTTTACCGATCAAGTTTTTGGCGACGTTGCCGGAGACTGCCAAAGATCATAGATTTTATAGTTATATTTTAGTTAAAATTTTGTTGCTCCGCAACTAAAATTTAGTTTTATTTTTATTTTTATTTTATTTTATTATAAAATAAAATCAGATTATTGTTGCTTCATGAATTCTTCTATACTGTGCGGCTAATAAGTGTCTGAGTTGTGTAGTTATGAATATTTTTTATACATTGTCACCTGTATCTTCTGCATGTTGGTCGCCTGATTCCGAAATCACTTTGGAAGTGGCGACTAAAATTTTTAAAGCATACAAGAGGGAGGTAAGAATCCTTATGAATGAATGTGAGGATGCTAACTTTTATCCAAATAATTTTATTTGGCGAGACTTCAAGTTGGAAGAAGAATATGCGAAAGAAGAAGAATAAGGCATGGCGTCAGACGAAGAAGATGCATTATAAATAGAAGAATTTTAGGTAAACAAGAAATGCAGGGAAGAAGAAAGAAGACAACTTGAAGATGATCTAGTGCTGGATGAAAATACAAATGTAACAATTTGTGTAGATGTAAACATCCAATAAGAAAATCTTCAAGAAAATAGTATCCCTAAAAACTATTTTAACAAGGCAAATGAGATTCAAGAGTCATTCTTTCTTCATTCTTTATTTCCTGCAGCTCTTTCAGTCATTCTTTATTCATTATATTCAAGAGTACCTTGAAGCTCTTCCTTTGTCAATGTTGACAAATCTTTCGACTCTTCTATGGCTACTACCACGTGGTTGAATTTTATAGCCAATGACCTCAAGAACTTTGCAGCAACTGATCTTGATGTCAACACTTCTCCATATACTTTGATTTGATTCACCAATTTAGTAACTCTAGTGAAGAAATCAGTTATGCTTTCACTTTCTTCCATCTGAAGTAATTCATACGTCCTTTTGTTAGTTTGTAACCTTGTCTCTTTCACCTTCTCTGCGCCTCCAAACGATTTCTCCAAGATTTCCCATACTTCTTTTCTTGATTCTACATCACTAACATTTTCAAAATTATCTAGATCAACGCATTGATGAATTATAAAGAGAGATTTATAATCTTTCTTCTTCAATTATTTTTATACAGCCTTTTCTTGATCCATTGCGTTTTCTGGAAGCGGTGTTACTCCTTCCTTCACAAGATCCTAAAGATCTTGGTAACAGAAAACCACTTTCATCTGCTTGCACCAATTCTTATAATTATTGTTCTTAAGAATCAGAAGACTCACCAAAAAATGCTCGTTTGGATGATTCATTGCCATCATGATTTTCTTCCCACGAATCGCTTAGTCAGTGCTCTAGATACCAGATGTTGGAATTAATCCAAAACTTTGAGAATTCCTAATCAGTCTTAATGAACAAGATTTAATCAACTGATCGAAATCTCTTGTTCTTCACTCTTCACTTGAGTGAATCAATCAAACCTTGATTGCAAGAATGATTATGTGCAACAATTATCAATGGAAGAAGAAAGAAAGAAAATTGAATAGGAAAGAAGATTAAGGTTTAACAAAATAAGGGAAGAGGATAATGATTTCTACAGAGTAACTCTTTACTCTAAAATTGAGAAAAGATATAATTCAACTGTGCAACTGCACTTTCTATTGTGTGTTACAATATTATTCTCTATTCTTCTTACTCAAAATAAAGGTTACTCCCTCTATTTATAATTGAGTTACCTTGCTCCCTAAGGTAAAACCCAAAATTTCTATTTTGGTCTAAGTGAAAATCCTGTGTCAAGCAACCTGCTTCGACACTTCGATATCTAACACAACTCGACACACACATGGCTAATTTCGAAATATCCTTGTTTCTGTCGAGCTACACTTGCTTCGACACAAGAAATTACAATCTCAACAACATCAAAGCCGAATAGAAAAAACTACGAGGAAATGCACAAAGAACATATATGACTTCACACAATCACAAAGCGTATGATTTCGACTATCTACCAACTTTCCACCGCCAAATATAATCGGCCGGTGATCCACAAGAGACACCAGATTGAGTGAAAGCAATTCTAACCGCCTTACATAAATAAAGCTTTGCACGTGCTGAGATCAAAGTAGTATTTTATATATATTGTTACACTCAAACTACTTTTCATTTATTCATTGACTTGAGTATTAGAGTGCTAACTTTGTAAAGTCACTCCGCTTTACCGAATCAAAAACTCATTTCACCACACATAAATTCCATATCACTCCTTCATTAACTATTTTTGGATCCTGAATCGAATAATAATAAATAGGATGAATTTGAAGGTATCATTTTCAACTGCCCTAGTCGACAACTTAATTGAGTAAATGTGATATTGAATAATTGAGACTAAAACTACTATGATATTCAGTATTAGTTTGTTGTGAGATTTACGGATAGATTATGTGATTGAACGTGATAAGATCTGTAATAAATGAATTGGTGTTGTTGTATCATATAATTATGATATTGTTGTCAAAGTGCTCTCTCCGTTTTAAAATGACTGTTGTTTAAGGTTTTTGCACACAAATTAAAGAATACAATGATATTATTATAAGATATTGCAATTTTACTAAATTAGTCTTATAAATGTATTGAAAATAGTGTATAGAATAATAATTATTTTACACAATTGGAAAAATAGCAATTATTGTTACATTAAAAAGTGATAATGACATTTATTTTGAAACAAGTTTGTTTTCCTAAAACAAAAGTTATTTTAAAACGGAGAGAATATTATACTAAGTATTCTTAATCGAACCATGAAATTTGACAAATATGATACTATATGATTATGTATGTGCTCTGAACTATGAAAATTATTATTTAAAAATTAAATTTATTTTTCATCTTTTTTAAATAAATACGCATGTCCTCTGAAGTATGTATTCGTTATTAATTTTTAAATTAAATTTTAGATTTTTGCATATTTATATTAACTTCAAATTTTAAAAAAAATTAATTTTTTAAAAATAACAATGAAATTAAATGTAAATAAAATACTAATATTCAAATTGAAAATATAAGATATAAAAAAAATTGTTTAAGAATCATTCTATTAAAATGAAGAAAAAAAACAAAAGAAATGAGTTGCTTCAATTTGATTATATACAATTCTGTTAGAAACACATACTAGATGCAATTTTGTCACAAACACAAAGATTCTTTAAAATGCAATTTAGTGATAAAGAAAAACATGATAATATTGAAAAAAGCATTCAAAAGATAAGCATCTTAGTACAAAAGGTTTACCTCTTCTCTTTTCACAGTTTCATAATGATCTCTGAACACAATCCACATGCTTTTGGACCCATCCATATCACAATCTAACTATATTTCATTTTTCCCAATCCCATCAAATAAAATATCCACATACATATATTACCAAACAAATTTTTTGCGTTTTCAAGATATTGTTACAAAACAAAATTCATAACAAGTCCAAATAGACTTGACAAAACATAAAAAAATGTTTAAAAATAACATAAAACAAAAATGTTACTATAAAATGCCAAAATTGTCAGTTGACCCAAGAATTTCCACATATCAACATATCATTTTTTTTTAAAATTGTATAGTCTTAAAATAGATTAATCTGATCCACTAATCTCGGTTGAAATCACAACAAAATTCTATATAAATTCAACATAAAAATTAATAACATTAATAAACATAGACACAAATTCCTTAAAATTTGAGAGAAACACAGTCAAGTCTCGTAACCAATTAGTCTAAAAGACGAATCTCACCGTCCATTAATAACAGACGAACATTTCGTCCAGAGCAAAATTTTGTATAAACTAACTATCATAAAAATTGTTAAGACATTCTAAATTGGAATCTTGAACACTTTAACACTAATATAATAATATACATATTGATAAAAATTGGCCAACATAACAAGAACAAAACCTTATCCAAATTGAAACATGAAACCAAATAGAGTACACTTTCCAATTCCACATTAAAAATCAAAAAACAAAAGAACAACAACTTTATATAGATTTAAGGTGAAGGTGTTAAACCTTTGTCTTGTAATTTGTTACCATTGTTGTTATGGTTGACAATGTTGGAATTTGTCAAGTACCTGCAAAGAACCTTACACTTAACAGCACTACCATAGACATAAAAACCAGGTGCAACCATTATCCTAACCATGTTTGGTACCAACCTTGAAGATTTGTCTCCTCCCATATCTTCCATGTAAATAGAATCATAACTCACACCTTTATCAACTCTAAAAATTGTTAAACTTGGATGAACCGAATTCGCCAACAAATGAACCATCCAAACACTTTTTGAAGCAACAAAGAAAGCCTGCAATAATGGTTCCGACCAAGCTCTATTCCAACCCAACATTGCGACAATCTCACTCATTTTTCTGTCGCAAAATCTACTAAAATCTTCGCTAAAGTGTCTTGTTCCTTTGCTCAATACTTCGTCCCATGTTAAACCATGAATCATGTTGAATGAGGTGTAACTCGACTCACATCTTTCCATTGGGTTTAGGATTCTGTTACAACCGTTCTTTTGAAAAGATATTGACTCAAAATCCTCAAAGAATGTCTTGTTCAAAAGTGCTTCTAGGTAGAAAAGCAAACTTCTTGGATTCTTTGAAAACGAGATTTTTATATCATAGGGTTGTAGAAGTAACGAAACTTTTTCGTAAACTTTGTTTCCCGTGTGTCGAAGTTGCATTGTTAATGAACGACTTAGAAGCCTCACCGAAGATCTTGCTTCAGAAACCGACACCAAGAAGTGTTGTACAACGTTGTTGTCCGTGTCTTGAAGAACTTGATGATGCCAAATTTTCTGAGAAACCGAAGAATTCGCAACGCTATTGATATTGCATTCTTCAAGACCGGATTTCAAACTGTGGCAATAGATTTCCAGTTTGTTGAGTTTTTTCTCTAACTCAGACATTGAATTCATGAGCCTTGAAGCTTCTTGAAGAGCTTCATCTCTTTTCCTCGTAGCTTGAACAAGCTTGTGAGAGAGTTCTGAAACTGCCATTTTCCACTGTTCTTCGTTATTATTGGTGTTACTCGTTGACGATGACATTGGACTTTTTCTTGTTAGTTTTGAAACAATGGATTTGAAAATCCCATTTGGACTTGCTAACAAAGATGAATAGTTTCTGTTGCCGCTATTGGTTTGATCATATGGAAGAATGAAGATTTTGTCGCGAGAATGCGGTCTGCATTTATTGCATGAAACTGAACCGTCTTCTTGATCTGTCTCAGAACGTTTCTTCTTGTGATTTTTCGTGTTTTTGTTAACGATTGGTGTTGGTGGATGATGAATATGATGGAGATGATGATTATGATTCGGTGTTGTTGAATTTGTGGGTGTTGTTCTTCTACTTTGGCTTCGGTTTTCATTGCTATATTCATCAAATTCATGTTCTTCTTGAATCTGCATAGGAAATTTCATTAACATATATAATACCATATAACAAAAAAACAGATGTTATAAATAATTATATGAAAATGGTACTAACAGGAGTGAATTGTGGAGAATGGCGAGAAGAGATTAAAGGAGGAGATTTGGAGGAAGAAGGAGAAGAAATTGAAGAAGAAGATGAAGAAGAAGAAGAAGCCATTTAGGTTGTTTTTTTGTTGTTGGAGTTATTGAAGAGATTTTATGATATAGTATGAAATAATAATTGTTAATAGTTGAGAGATTAGAATATGATTTAATATTATCCGTGACATGTCAGAGAAAGTGTGGTCCTTAGAAAATAAATGTGATGGTCCAGTGAAGAGGGAAAGTGGGTAAGATGAATTGATTATAAGTGGAGTATAGTAACTTACCTTCTTGAAAGGCCAATTGAATTGAAGTGAAATAAATGAGTTTCAACGACTCACATTGAATTCACAATGCGGTGGATCATGAAATGGCCAAACAGGTCATTGTCTTGTATGTAGTGTGTGTGAGTGTGGTTTGAGTGCATGTGAACTTATTAAATGAGACTCTCTATTATGGCTCCTTTCCATCTTCTCATTAATGTCATGCTGCATTTTAGTTATGCTCAGGTACTATACTTTCTAAAGCATGGACTTTCATTTTAACTAGTTATAAAATTTTGCATTTATGTAGTCTTTATATATGACTGTTGGATCAAAATCAGATGGTGGAGTTTGAAATTGAAATTTAGTTTTTTTATTTAAAAATAAGAGATTTGTTTGAAATGTTTTACCGCATGATGATCTAACAAACATCTAGATAATCGTGTGAATATGGAATTTTATCTAAGTGAAGTTAATATGTGTTTGCAATGAATTTTGTTGAATTCATGTGTGGGCGGTTAAGTCATACATCGACTAAAAATATTTTAAGATTTTTTATGGATATGTGATTTTGAAGTCTCTTGGTTCTTGAGCGTATGATTCAGTAACACTTTTAATGTTTTTCAGATTCTCCAACAAGTGATACCAAAGTTATGGATCAAGACTAGTGATTTGAAAGATTCGCACTTAAGAGGGAGATTGTTGGAATTTGAATTTGGCTAATTTTATTGGGTTCTAGAAGGAATGACCCAAAAGGATACAAGTTAAATCAATTAAATCAATATTAGACGAGTGCTTCTTGGTCATGTCGCATGTCGCCTGAAATGTGCGAGAAGTCCTCTCTATTGGATCTAAGTCTAGCTGACCCAACTGAACCACATTTTTTATTGATTCAACTAATGAGTATGTGACATGCACAAAACCAATCAAGGGACGAGGAATAATTGCTTCTTCTAAAATTGCGGAAAGAACCCAATCTTCTCACTCCCGCATCTTTGACCAGAATAAGGGGAAACCATTCCTTTTGGCCTTTGATTTAAGCTCAAGGTTTCTCATATATATATAACTCGTTTCTTGAAGGGGTGAGGGATATTCAATTCTCTCCAAAAACACATAGATAAGAGCTTTCCACAACTCTTAGGTGGGTGAGCTCTCAATACATTCAAATATCCTAAATCCTTATATAGACTTACACTAACAAGACAACCTCTCATTGTACATTTTAGCAAGTGCAATTTTCCGTCTATCGTGGCCCCCCAATAAAGCTGGCATGGGCCACCCTCATAATCAACAACTAATTCACTCTTCGGCTCCATCATATTTTCCACTATGGTTAAGAGACAAACAACTACTTTGGTCGGGAGCAACTACGACGACAACCATGAGGCCATAATAGAGACGTAAACTGCTATGAACGATTTGTATTGCCACAACCAGACTTTGGAGAATAATGTCCTTAACATCCAACAACACCAACAAGAGATAGGTTTACAGATGAGAAAAAAAATTAAATCACCAATCTCTCTTTGATGAGATTTTAGGAGCCAATATGCCAAAAACCCTCAAGCTTCTTTCACTCACAAAGTATGATGGAAGAAATGATCCTTACGAGTACATCACCTTCATTAACACGTATATGGAAATCATCAGAGCCTCTAACTATTTAAAGTGTAAACTCCCTTCTAACACCTTTAGAGGCACCACACTAAGCTGGTATATAAGCCTGTCGCGCATGTCGATCAATAGATATTAGAACCTAGTGAAGAAGTTGGTCCATCCATTTTAGTGAGCAGACACAAGAAAATGTTTATCATAATCACGTCCAAAGTTTGACAAAGGTCTTTAGAATCATTAAGGGAATACCTCACTTAATTTAACAAGGCAACTATCAAGACCGTTCATCCAAACCAGATGATGTTTATATGAGCTTTCTAGAATGGGTTAAGTTTCAAACACTCCAATGAACCCCTCACCCAAAATCCAACCATTTCTATGGAGGAGGTTGTGACGCATGCCAAATGTTACATAAAGTGCGAGGAAAACAATGCTGAGAAAAAGGCTAGAGAAGCTAAGGAGCGGGCGTCTAGCCATTCTAATTCATCGCAGCAGCAATCAAGGAGCCATTAAACCTCGCCTATCAGAGAAAAAGAAATTTTAAGCGTAACGGGAGACCTATAGAGAACTTCGCATATCTGAACACTTGCGTGAATAGATATGGTGAAAAGTCCTCCATACCTATGAAATTCCTCCTTTATCGGTCCCAAAGTCTGACATTTTGGAACTTGAGCTCAGTAGATGGTGTTATTATCATAAGGTCAAGGGTAACCAAATAAAGGATTTCTACTAGTTAAAGAAAGAAATCGAGCGGTTCATTTAAGAAGGTCACATGAAGAAGTACGTTTGAGGCGTCTCCCATCAATCACATGGTGGATCCAAATCTCAAGGAAGTAAGCCCTCTATAGGCCTTAGGTCTAGAAAGGAAAAAGATCCAAGCAGAGGATACGAAGACATGCCAATACACCATACCATAAACACTGTAGAATAAAAGGTTCGTTGGGGGCGCTAAGATAAAATCTTCTCGTATGAGGTATCTATACCCCCAAATAAACAATAATATATATAGGTACATATAAATTTTATTAGAGTATGATTTAAAATACGGTATAGAGGAAATATGTCACATTATTGCCAATAAAACACTCAACACCTGCTCTATAAAAATATGCAACGGTGGGATAGTTTTCAAAGTAGAGGAACTTAGTCCTTAAACCCACGTCTCAATATTTAAAATTAAAGCGGAAGATTAAAACATTTAAATTGCCTCAAAACATTTGATCACATAAGTACATGTTATCCAGTCGTTCATCAATCATTCATGTTACAAAACATCATCAACTGATACATTACAAATGTATCACAAAAGAATGCTATACAAGCCTAACTACCCGGTGTTACATAATCAGAGCAGTCCGACTCAAAAGAATGAAGCTATACTTCACAAAAGAAACCTCCAGCAACCTAATCTGCAATGCCTCATAGAGCAATATAAAACAGCAGAAGGGTGAGAAATATTACCATAATAATCAATGCATACGATTATATATATATATATATATATATATATATATATATATATATATATATATATATATATATATATATATATATATATATATATATATATATATATATATATATATATATATATATATATATATATATATACAAGTAACAATTACATATAATTCACATTTTTCACTACAATTCATTTTCATTATCGTATTCATCACGTCGTACATATAAACAAATATGAACGTGCATCAAGCATATCCCCTCATGCATATTTCACAATTATCCAAAAACATCCCATTCACAAGCATGCTTCATATATCAATGACATTTATGCTATGTGACTCAATCACAGCTCAATGCAACTCAATGCTATGTGGTACCAACACTTGTTATCATTTTTCGGTTTTTACATTTAAATCGGGTCCACCCTTCTAGACCGATAACAACAAAGCCCGTCCCCTAGGCTTCAAACCCACCCTTCTAGGTTTGGGACAAGCCACTAGTCTCCACGAAACTAGCAAACATTGCCTCTTGATTAAATGATGCATATGCAATCAACCAACAAAAATGCACTTAAGATCGTTCCCGCATCTTAATCCCATGCATTCAAATAATTCATCCCTTCAAGAATTACAACATGATTGTACACACAACATATTCATAACAATTCAAGGCATTCACATTCAATACCATCATCACATTCATCAAAACAATGCACACATATCCACGATATGTTCCCATGCATTACATACATTAGCATACAACAATATGCATTCACATACTTATTAGACAATACACACATATTCACTAATATGTTCTCGTGCATTCCTAAGCAATTCAAACAATACACATATCACAATCTAGGATTCACGCCCAAAGGCTACCCACAACTCATCACAATAGTACACAAGCTATTTATATCACATAGGGTTAACATAATTGAACCAAGCAATTAATCATTGGATGGATAAAACAAAAAAGAAACAATGTTGTCCTGCTCGCCACCCTTCGCCTGGCGAAGCCATTGGTGAATGCTCCCTGAGACCTTCGCCCGGCGAACTCGCCAGCGAACAAAAGTCAGTAGCTTCTGACTTGATTCTCTACCCTTCGCTGATGTACTCGCATGGCGAACCTTAGCCACTCACCTTCGCCTGGCGAACTTGCCAGCAAAGACCACTGGGAGTTTTCTTTAATTATTCGCTAGCTATTCGCTGGGCTTCGCCCGGCGAAGCTTCGCCTTCACTCGCCTGGCGAGAGCCAGCGAACCTGCGATATCAGAACCCTCATTCTGTCCCAAAACTTCTACCCTCCAAAAATCGACCGATTCTCACCAAACCAGTTCCAGTAATCTTAATCCCACATCACTCGACTATTCTACGACATTATTTCCAGTTTCTAACCGATTAAACTACGATTCTACCGATTAAATCCATTTTGCCCTAACTCGAAAAATGGTGGAAACTCACAACAAACCCCAACCCACACATACATAACCACATACATGGATCAAATAATAATGTTTCTCACCCTTACCTTGATTAGATTGAAGCTTGAAGTTGATTCTTGATGATTTCTCCAAGTTTCCCTCTTCTCTTCTCTTTTCTCTTCTTTCTCTATTCTTTCTCTTCTATTTTCTTTCTATCCAATTCTTTCCACTTATTCCTTATATACTTCTATTATTTTCTTTCCTTCCCATTTCTCTCTTCAATTATCTAACAAATAAATCCAATTAATCCAAATC